CTTCGCGTGACACTGGATATTGAAGCGAGCGCCTATGTTCACCGCCGTCGGGTCGCCAGGGCTCCCGAGCCGGCGCCCTACCTGCAGCATGGCATGCACCTGCTCCCGAGGGTGCTTTCCCAGAAGGACGTCGCGCAGGAACTGCTGCAGGTGGTTCATCTCCTCGAGCCGATAGCGGCGCGCCTCTTCAGAGCTGGCGACAAGGGGAGACCGGGCGTCGGTTAGGACGGCGCGACAACGGTGACGAGCTGCGGGCGCCGCAGTCGGTGCCGCGCCCGCAGTCCGTTACGCACAGCGGCGCGGACACCAGATGGGCCAGTTTCGGCAGACCCAGCCATTAGCCGCCGGACAGCTGTCCAGCGGCACAACGCTTAGCATAACGAACGGCAGACGGACGAACGAATGAACAACGTACAGACACAAAAGGTCGTATGCACTTCTGTGTGTTACATTTTAATGTAACCGACTCCTCGCATTGTCAAGGGATGTTGAAATACATCGAAATCCTTAATGGGAGACGTATGCGCGCGCAGCAGCACAGTAGAGGCAGCCATCGGCAACAACCAACGAGCCTCCCAACAAGCAGGCGGGTGACACTGTCACATACATGCAACTTTATGACATCTACATTCTCCTGATCATTCGTATTAAAAACAGAGACAGTCTAATTTTAAAGGAAAATTGCACCTCAACCTGGCCTGAACAGTTATTGTTGTCAGTTGTTGACCTAGCAGCACACAACTTGTGGCTGATTAACAGAACGATGGTGAAAGCAATCCACTGTTTTCCCCGCGAGGCGCTCTGTCGTCCGTAGTTAATAAATGACAAGGAGGTCGCGTCGAGCCTACGATCCGTTCCGTCATGATTTTCGACGAGTCCTTGGCGGGGTTAAGGAACGGTGCGGTCAACGAAATGCCCATTGCTGATCGTTAAAAGGCTTATTAGGGCACGCTTTCATGTGTTTTGCGTGCTGCATACATGCAATCGGCCCTCAGTGAACGATAAAGGGAAGTCATTGAACCAAAACATACATCAGTACCAAACAAGCTCAAAAACACCCCGAAACTACAAACAAGCCGAGATACTCATTGCATTCATCAGCAAAGCTTATTTGAGTGCGACGTCATATCAAACACTTGATGTGCAGTGTGCTCAATACGTTGGAAAATAAGGCGGAGACATAAGATAATAAAATCTGTTGCCTGTTCATGCAGACCTCCAATGGTGCGGTTCGTATTCTTTTGAGTGGGGCCACTGCCCCCCGCCCATGTTTGATTCGGGCCCCCATGGGTGAGTTTGTACTGCCAACCTTCTGGAAGCTAAATACAAGCAGAACGTAAGAAAAGGTGGCTCAGTTTATATCCATTTTAAAGATGGTTTCTTCCGATTATTTCTCTGCATGCTGCATGTTTTTAGCTACACGATCAGTATGTCTTGTCGACTCTGACCTAGTTTACGCCATTGTCTGAGTGTTTCGGCATGTTCAGCAATGATCCCATTTCTGCAGACAACATCAAGTTGCATTCGTCTGCCACGTCTTATCGGAAATTTAAAACAAATCGGCCGAATCCTAACACCCCCCAAAAACGTGACCACGTTATTAGCTGTCTTCGTTGGGAAGAAGCTCTGGATGTGCCGACCTTCACCTTCGACGTGAATATTCCATGGAACAGTTACAAAACCTGATGATCAACACCTGCCGTATGAACCGATAGCGGTAAACTGTTCAATAATGACCATCAAAACCACACCAGCCGTGTCAAACACGCATAACGCGAGTGCTGAGTTACAGCCTGCACCCCACCTTGTAGACATCAGACTCGTGTTTCTATTCCTTTAATAGTCGCGCTCCTCATCTTACTCTCCACTCTCGGAAGCCGTGCACGCCAACAACGTCTGAAGCCACACAAACTCGTCCCTACGTCGATTAGCGAAACCTTGTTTCGACGATCGACGCCAAACAAGATGACAAGAAAGCCCAACGACGACATCTTCCGCTGAGATAGAGCGAGGAAACGTAATATACGGCAACGTAATATAGCAGGGCTGCAATTTCTAGATCAGTTAGGGGGAGGGGGGGGGGGAGAACCCCCAAATCCATAAAGTTGAAAAGAAAGAGGGTCAAATCTAGGCAAAAACCTGTTTGATGATGTATGTAGCGCCAGCTTTTTTCCCTGCTCAGCTCCCCATCCCATTTTGCGACACTGCACCTCTATTGTGGGCGCGTAACGGCCAGGACACGCAACGGATTCACCGGCAGATTACCAAAGCACCAGGTCGGGAGCTGATAGTCCATTTCCCAGCAGGGACAAGGCTGAGTGCCGCGATTCCATTTGTCAGGATCCCTGAGTCAATGAGCCCCCCCCCCCCCCCCCACGCTGTGTCGGTCAGGGGACCACACAGTGCCTTACAAGGGTCTTGTATTGGCAAGGAGGCAAGAGTCGGTCAGGGCAGTGTTCAAAAGTCTCCTCGGAACCCATGATGACGTGCCTGATGGCAGGGCACGAAGGACTGGCTTTATGTTATATAAAACCCCGTCCTGCAGGGGCTGGTTCCCAAATGTTAGAGGGCCTCTTGCACCGATTGAGGACGTCATGGAACAATGATGACCTCCATGTTGGTCGGAGACTACCAGCACTAACCAGTCCGCATCGTGCCGGCCAGAGCCCTTGGAGTCCATTTCCCAAGCAAGGACAAGGCCCGGACCCGCGATTTGCTGTGGTCGGGACCCCTGAAAACAACGGGGGCCCCGTGCCGGTCAGAGGCTCATAACACCCAAAAGAAGGCCCTGTTTCGGCAAGGGGCCCGAGTCGGCCAAGGAACATTTAATGAACATGGACAGGGGCGGAACCCCGAATGCCACGGGGTCTCCTGCGTTGGTCGGGGTTGTCTGACGATGGAATGAGATCCGATAACTGATGACTGGGGGGCCGAAATGGGACAATCGAAGGACCCTCTGTCAGTCATTGCCACCAGGGCGGAACGGGGCACTCCGCCCCATTTCAGCCAAGGGCCCATTGATCGTCTGTGCCAATTATCGACCCACCTAGGGCGATAAGGTGTCTTGTTGCGTCAATGAGGGCTTCTACGCCAATCTGGAGGCAAATGCCTGGGTCACGGGCCCCCGGCGTCAGGCAGGCAACCAATGTAAATTTATCCCTCTGAAGGCTTCCGTATCAACCTGGAGGCCCCAACCCTGTGTCACCAGCATGACAAGCGGCAGACACCACGCACTGCGACGGAATGGCCTTGAAACCCCTGACCGGGAAATGTAATGCGCCCCTAGTGTTCTACCCACTGGGCCCCTTCCTCGGAAAAGGTAAGGGCTTTCTAAGTGTTCAATAGGGGGATCAAAATGAGGTCAAAAACGAACATGGGCCAACACAAAGAGGACGTTCACCTTTGTCGGTATCAGCTTGTGAAACAAATTATGAGACAAAGTTTTGTGCCTGCGTGCTCGCAATCTCAGCAGCAAGAAAGCCGATGGTCGATGGTTGCAGTTTCCATCGAACCGAGCGGCGATGGCCGGCACAGCTAACACCGGGCGGCGGGTGCCTGACGCGGGAGCACAGCCGTCGCGGGATAATGCTTCCGAAAGCCTTTCAAAATCGATTCGAGCTGTCCCAAAAGTAGACTGGAGCGTTACATCACTCGCATAATTTTGTTATTGTCCTCTGAACAACGGCAGCAACACGAAGATAGAAGTTCCACTTTGACTTGTTTGACTTGATCACCAAAGTCCGCCACCGGTGCGCGGTGCCGTGAATGCTAATCCACTCTTCTTATAAATATAAAAATTGCACAGGTAAACACACACTCCGGACTATCTTTTAAACGTACGAATTACATGCTAAGCCGCTTAAAGGTACTTTTTCAGTTATCGTTCCCGCCCGCCCAGTGGCCACCGTCTAATGTTACCCGCGGCCCAACAACTCGCAGCCTAAGGCGACTGCAATGCTGGTCGTCTGCGGTTTTCTTCAAAGACTTGCGAGCGCGTGTGGTTAAAACTTTTACGTAATGTTTCCAGTACCCAATGTTGAGCAAAGGTTAAAAATTTCCAAGCAAGCATGGATCACCTATGTCAATGCAACGTCATTCCCCATTTTGATCTGCAATCTACGTTCACAAAGCTCAGCACAACCCAGAATAATTCCAACGCAACCTGTAATTACTATCGGCATAGAAAAAGTCCACTGAACCATTGTAAAATGAATCGCGTCGGCGGTTATTCAATGCATTTATCTAACACCTGGTTCCTTCAGATTATTGACTTAAAATGCAAACACAATTGCATCTTTCGGTGCCTTCTGACTTCTGTCTTAGTTGAAAAGGGCACATAAATAATATATAAAAGTATTATGAAAAGGTACAAAATAGTGACCCTCGAAATCAAGTGGGCCATAGCATCAGATTTCTTGTGAGAGGGCCTTTCTTGAGGAAGGGACCCTCCGTCAACCCTATGTCCCACTGCACTCCATGGCAAGCTTGCACAGCGCGTTATTAACGGGGAAAAGACATATGCGACAAGGGGGCATCTGCCTGAGCGCATTTGGGGGAGGGTTGGGGACATGTTATTAAATGATGCGTAGAGGAGTGCTTATGTTTTGTGTTACATTTAAGAAAATAAATATGTGTTATCGATGAAATGTCGGTGTGGAAAACCCGCGTGCAAAGGAGTTGTGATAACATATATCATGGTCAATATTCTTGTGGAAACATTCATAGATACGCAACAAACTACTTAAGCAGACAATGGTGAACTATGCGGAAACTTCACATTTAAGTATGGAGAAGTACAACTGCACTCCTTAAGTTCCACAAACGGACGCGTTTATAGCAAACTGATTCATTCGCCAGCCTTCCACGCACAACTTGCAACGGTTGGCAATGTCAGCAGCCAAACTTTTAAGTTGAAGACAGATAACCAAAGGATCTGCTTCTACCACCGACCCGCTCCAGGGCGCTATGTTCCCGTCCACAGAGCCGAATTTTCTCTTCGTCCTAAAATGCAAACGGAACCGCGTAGTTTGAAACGGCGACAGCCCAACCTATCAACATGACGCCGAATGAGAGAGAAAGCGTGAATGAGGCCCGTGCCGATGCTGCACTGCTGGACGCTCAGCCGTGGCCAGTGAGCTGGGCTGAGTGCTCGGCCTTTGCCAGCGAGCTGGGCCAGCCTGCCAGCCGCTTCGCGCCGCGTCTGCTGTCCCTGCTCTTCCGACCCCAGCGCCCGGTCAGTCCGCCGGCCGGGAGGCCGCAGGTTAGCGAAACCGTCCGGCGGCCGGCAGACCCCCCCCCCCCCCTCCCACCCGACTGCAATGCCAGCCTGGGGTCAGCTTGGACCTATGAGGCCGGGGCAGCCAGGCCCTGCTGACCTTCGGTAACGAATGCCGTATGCAGCCACAATGCGGTGATGATAAATGCATGGCGCGGTGTGAGCAGATCGGTCAGTCCGGGGACAAAATTGGCACTACCGTAACAGCTTCGTGGCTTGGACACTGAGTTTGGCTAGTGAAGTTATGCATGTATTTTGCGGCGCAGACAATTATGATCCGTACGAGAAACGAGACAGCCACCTCTGCAGATGGCGGTATGAATAAGGCATCGGAGATCAAAAGATGGATGGGGTGGGCGAGAATGCACCCAGGAGTCTTTGTCAAGACCAGTCTGCTTCGATGCCAGTGACAGTGCAAACAGACATGACCTCACCAGGGGATATGAAGGGATTGATTTCGACAGGTTTGAAATCGCGATAATGCATCTACTAATCGTGTTAATGTAGAGTCTCACTGGATAATTTAGTTAAACATACCAAAGAGCACGCAATACGTGACGTGCCTCTCTTTCGGCATTGAACTTGATTCCTATCGTCGTCACTAACGTAAGCCAGAGGCTCTAAAACGTTTGCAAGAATGATCCCATGATCCAGCGGAGAGTCGGCCGACGGGTGAGAGTGATGAGAGCAAAAACGAATTGATCTGGAGAGACCGCTCGGCGGCTGTAAAACTCGTCGAGTTAAATACTTGTATGTCGGTTTTTATTTCCACCCTAGCAGGGCGCCGATGCCCGTTATTGACGCAATGTGTGCAGAGGTTCCGCTCCGGGGGAGTGGGGAGAGAAGGGGGGGGGGGGAGGGGCGCGGGTGCAGCGGCTGATAGCGGGGATCGCAGGCGACGCTGCACGCCGGTCGCTGAGTCCGCCTGTCACCCCGCAGCAGCACAGCACACACCGGTGCAACGGGGCAAACGAAGACGGGGGCCAGCCGCGCCGGCCCAGGTCAAGTCATCGAATGGGCGGGCACGAGGGTGGCACGGAGCGCCGACATTCGGCAGTCGAAAGATGTGGTGCGGCGTCCAACCACGTCCCGAGCCCGGCGGCGGCGACGGCGGCATTCGGCAGAAAACGTCATGAACGGCCTGAAACGCTTCCGGCATCGGGACTGGCATCCGGTGCTGGACGTGCCGCGTGTCGAGGTGCCGCCAGGGATGTGACGTGCGTGAAGACACGTCAAAGTAGACCCGTGGGGACATTGGTGGCGAAAAAGGCGATTGTCTTAATCACTGGTCCTGCAGCCAGCGTGTGGTCCTCGCACTAGACACATCGCAGCGAGGCCAAAGCCAACGATCATCGTTGTTGTAATTGTCAACGCACTGCAAAACACCAACATAAAGCAGACTCGTCGAGATCACGTCAAAATGGTAGAAGCTATTTCAGTTTACCTCGTCAGGAGAGACGGGATCATTGCTGACGAGGCCCCGCTGCATGATCAGTTCGACGCATGCCGTATTTGGAAAAGGGGACGAACTTCTACAAACTTGCACCGACCAACACCCACTCAACATTTAATTTATGAAACACGGCGCGAGTGTAAACAGTGTTAGTGCGCCCGAGTTGCATCAGCATGTGTGTCAAGGCCGCAGCGGGAATGATAAGTCACCGTGCTGACCGGTAAACTCAACCATCAAGCGAGACCTCAGTACAGTCTTCGCGGGGAGTATAATCTGATATAAATACTGAGCGAAGTGGAGGGGAATCGAATCACGTAGACCACACAAGCCGCCGATTCCGCTAGCAGCCGAGCGCTCGCCAGCTATTACCGGTAATATTGCCATCAGTTTTGATACAAGCGTCTCCATGCGCCTTTCGGTCCATTTCACTGTGTATTGCGGCCTATCCTTGACTCGAGTGGCCGGCGTGTTCAAAATCACTGACAGATTCGGCTCGCTCTGCTGATCACCGCTCCCACAGGGTGGCCTACAGCAAACGACGACGCTCAACTAGCCTTTTCGAAGCTCTTCGCCCTGTTCCGCCGAACTGTTTCCCATTCATCAGAGTCCATCACCCCCATTTTATCAGTAGTTCCATCATCACCTCTGCTTTCTCATCAGCCTGTAAACTAACTCGCATCACTCCAGCTCCATCACTCCACATCACTCCATCACAGTCCGGCGGTCGTTCCGACCTCAACAACTTCAGACCCCTTTCAAAACCGTCCGTGCATTATAACCTTCCAAGATAACGGAGAAGATCGCCTCTTTTCGACTCATGACATGCCTCTTAGAAAAAGTGTCACATCGTCGTACCAATGTGCGCATCGACCTTGCGATTCAACGGAAGACGCCGCGTTCTACGCTGTCTTCTGGGCATCGAGACATATCGACGACGGTCACGTTGCGTGGTTAACTACGCTCGACCTGGGCAAAGCCTTCGACAGCGTCAGCCATAGCGTCCTTATCGACAAGTTATAGCGGTATGGTGTGCTGTCGGGACGGTTCCTGAGCTTTCTCAGCGATCGTAAACAGTGAGCGGCGGCTTCTCTGATACCCTTCCACCGACCCACCGAGTAGCTCATGGATTCATTCCGGGACCAATCGTCTTCCCACTGTTCATCACCTCACCCGTGGCCGACTCTTGTCCCATGCTGACGGCACCCAACTTCTTGATCACTCCCCACCGAACACCACCGGGCCATCTGAACTCAGAAGGCGAATCAAGGGGTCGATCTTTGATCTCCAACTGCGGTTCCGGATTAATAGTCTAAAGATGAAGCCAAGCAAAAGTTTCGCAACTCTTATTAAAGTTTCTCAGTCTCTCTTAAAGGAATAACCATTCCACATAGCAATATTAAGTCAACACATACATCACATTAAAACCGTTAAAATTCTTGGCGCACTCCTCGACCAGCATCTGACGTGGTAGTCGCACATATCCACGGCAGCCTGTCGGTGAAACTCCCTCCACAAGATCCGCCATCGTTTTACATCCGCCGTCTTCAAACTCCTAGTCCAAGCCCATGTTTTCCCCACACATCTATTACTGTCTTTCTGCCTGGGAAGAAGCCACCAAGTGTCAGCTTCAGCGTGTCCAAAAAACATTGAACTTTGCAGCCAGACTTGTGACTGGGGTGCGGCGCCCAGAATGCATCTCACCAGCGCCACAAGCGCTTGGCTGGACAAGATGGAGAAGATGGCGCGCCGCCACGACTGCACACAGGTGCGGAAAACCCTGTTCCGCAGCCAGTGTCCCCCAACTCTATCGCACACGTTTGTTCGTCGCGCCAATATATCATCCCACGACACCCGCGCCGTGGCGGCCTAGATGCTGCGGCTCCTGGGGCGTCGTCTGGTCAAAACTCAGCGGGAGTTTGCATGCAGAGCCGCGTCGTCCTGGAACGCCCGGCCAGCGGAGCCGACCGCCGGGGACAGCAGCGCGCGATGTCGCTGCGCTAGGGTGGTTTTGTTGTGGTGTGCGTGTGTGTTCGTGGGGAGCGTTTTAGGTGGCACGCGCGTTGGCCTTTGCTATTTCGTTCCGTGGTGCTTTGTCTTCTGTTCTGTAGCATTGTGTAAACACATCGACTGAATTTGTGATAATCAACGCGTGGAATGATTCTTACGAATTATATGACTGACTGCTTCGTAACTCCGCTAGTTAACGACTGTTGAGCTGATGATGACGTAATGACCTGCTGCTAGTAACAGCCACTGACCTGATGATGACCTGGCGCGTGCAGAAGTGGCCTGGAGGTAGCGCGGCCTGGCTTTGTTCACTCATATCGCCCTTCACGTGCATATAGGTGATCTCGTTGGTACTCGAGATAAGACGAACGGTAACGCTGTCGAAGTCTTGCGGAAACAGGAACACTGCAAACGAACATGCCTGGTTACAACGACGACGAGCAGCATGTGACCCAGGTGTGCCACGCCAAACGGGGGGGGGGGGGGGGGAGGGAGGGAGCAGGAAAACTCAGCCAGCGGCTCAACTATGCGCTGGACATGGAGACGCTCAGGCAGGTGGACATGGAGGTGGCTTGCGGTAGTGAGACACGGGGAGAACTCCTGCTTGTTGAAACATGGGACAACGGGCACATAGGGCACTGGGTAGTCCCCGGAAACAGGCCCCGACGTCCGAACGCTAACGCAGTGTTTGAAGAGCGTCATAACGTTTTCAGTGCTGAGGCGTTTCACTGCAGCGTGGATCAATAGCACCATACCTGACTCCCAGTGCCGCACGCAGCAGACCCCGCGCTGTATAAAAACCCGCTCCAGAAGAGATGTGGAGGCTTGAGTATGCAGATAAAAGGTCAAGTAGGTGACTGACATATAGGTGACTGACATATGACGATGGGTCCCACTGTCTGACATCCAGCCCGTTGTATCTATGTCCCGTCAGGTGTCCCTTTACAGATAATCGTGCATGTCTCAACAGGAACTGTTAGATCAAAACAAACACATTAAATTTATTTCGTAGGCCCGTTATATTTTACCTCAATTATCATGTCGAGCTTGAAACGAGCTAAAACGACGCGAAACGAACTTGATAATATGACGTCTGAATTTTTACCATAAGGCTGCTGACACAAGCTGTATTGCTCCTATGAAACAAAGCTGTACATTCTTGCACGTGGACATCTGATTTAGTCGTGTAAAAATACCACCACTGATTGAGCTCCAAAGATATGCAATATCCGATTGCATCATACTTGCACGGCCTACCATAACCCGATCCCGGTCGTAATCTCCCGCAATCCAATTGCAACAGTAATCACCATCGAATCATGTACAGTTTCGATGCATCTTTGCAGAAGCGACAGCGCTCTGCACGGAGACGTTCCCCAGGGAACACGGCGGCTGCGCGAGCCTCAAAGTTCGGCAGCAGCTCGCAGCCCGAGCCATTGAGCCTATCATCGAGCATTCTGATAATAAACCGCAGGCCAAATCCAACGTAACAACTTGGCAGGTTCCTCCTACGATGACCTAGCCAAGTTTCGAACATTGCAGAGCTCCTTATAATTTCCAGGTCGCGTGGAAAGCAAACAGGTCCGCGGCAGAGTGTCGGGAGCCTGCCGTAACACCGGAGCAGTTAAGCCAGAAATGCATGATATATGGTGAGCCGTCTCGGACGACTGTGGCAGCAACGAGACTTTGGAAGCTTGAAACTGCCTGACAGCATCCGCTGCCAGCCGTCCAGATGGGCAGGAAATGGAGCAGCCCCCAACGCCAGACCTTCCGTAATAGCTCGCCTCCCACTGATGACCGATGACTAGTGATGACTGCGGTAGGAGCTTGGCCAGTTCAACCGTGCCAGTGCAAACCGGCGTGCTCCGTACCCCGTTACCCCTTTTACCCTTAAGACGTGGCTTCAGACCCTTTTACGCGAGTGGCGTTGTACGGCCGGCGCGAGCGCGTGGGGCAGCGGCGGTACTCACTGAGCCCCTGTCGCACGGCCGCCCACATCTGGTCGTCCTGGTGCAGGAACGTGTGCACCGACTTCTGTGCCACCTCGCTGGGCAGGTAGCCGGCACAGATGCTTATCCTGAAACAAGGACGCCGGTTCTCCGCTAAGTCTCAGAGCGTGGGCGATGCGGTCAAAGCGTTCAAACGACAGCTGAGCGGTCTGCCCCAGAGGCGGAGAGTCTCAGACCTCTAAGTAGGTGGAGGGTTTTCCATTTTAATGTGTTTTGTCACACAACGCATTATGATCTATTCCACAGTTGTCACAGGGATAGGGGCTCTCTGCACGCCCCCACCCCTTACCCACCATCCAATGCCCATGCTCCTTCCTCGATCTTTCCTGCGTCCAAAGGGGTAGTGCAAGCCGGTCAAAACCTGAGTAGAATCAGAACAGCTCACACGGCACTGTCAAGGGAAGCAGCCTGCACAGCTGTGTGTCCTGCTGCTCTATCGGCAGCTCACTATAACATTTGGGAGCGAAGGCGGTCTCCAGCTTAAAACCCGGGCAATAGACCCATGTAAACGGTGTTGTGAGTTCGTGACATCGCACCGATAACAGCAACACGTACAGTAACACCAGGGAGCTTTTAACCTGTTTGAGCATCACTAATTACGCCAGTGATCGGCCGCTAACCCAACACTGGCCTGGTGACTCCACAGTGACCCGGTGACCCGACTCTGATATGGTGACCTGTCAATGATCCACTGACACCATTACCCCGTGACCCAAAACAGGCCCTATACTAACCTAGGGACTCAGACACCTAACCCTGCGATCTCGTAACCCATAAAAGACCCTGTGGTCAAACACCCCCGCCGCTAGCCCGCCACTAATCCTACCCTAATCTCGTGACTGCCACCGGCCGGGCGCCATTCCACTGACCTGCTGTCCGAGCCGACGATGACGCCGTCGGAGCGCACCTGCAGCATGTACTCGTTCTCGGGGCGGGCCTCGCGGTAGGCGGGCACCGTGCCCCCGGCCGGCGTCACCCGCGCCACCAGGATCACCTCGTCGTCCGGCACCAGTCGCAGCCGTGCCTCCGCGCCTGTCGAACACCGGCCAAAGAGGGAGGTTAGTTAGCCAGGGGCTGAGGTCAGCCGAAAGATGAGCACGCTCTCCGGACCCCGCCCCGCCCGCGCTCATCGCCTCCTCAAGTTCGGCCCAGGGCGACAAACGCGGCCGACGGACACGGCAGCTGGTGGTGCCACCAGCGAAGGCAGCTCCGACCGTCGTGCAGCGTTTGGACGCCCGGTGAGCGGAACACCAGCCCGACAGTCGCAGTTCCGCGGCCCTGGGGGTGACAGGTGTTCTAAAAGCGTCTCCAGGTGCAGTTCCAGGAGGTGCTCTGAGTTCTCAGCGTTCCGGTTCGGTGAGCAGCCGGCTGCCGGCGCTCCGTCCACCCTCGACGGTCTGGGTGAAGCCTCGGCAGCGTGTGGAATAGCGAGTTGGCGAGCGTTCGCCGGCGTCCATCACAACTAGCGGCTGCGCTGGAGCACGGGCGGCCCAGGAGCCTCGGAATGGCGCCGCACGAGCTTACTCAGAGACAGGTCTCATGAGGCCACACGACGAACGAGCACATTGGACGCACCGGGCAGACCGGCCGATGGCTTACTATCCCATCTTTGACGGCGCACAGAGAGCTGAAATGCGCGGCGTTGCCGTTTGCGGAATCATGTACGCCAAAAGACAGTCTGAAAAACTGGAAATGCGGCTTAGTAGACCCTATCCTCATCAACACTCCCAATAAGTATTACACTTGGCTTGAGTGGTGAAGCGAAACAAAACCGCCGAACGTGACCACTAAAACGTAGACCGGCCGATGGCATTACTATCCCATCTTTGACAGTGCACGGAGAGCTGAAATGCGCAGCGTTGCCACCTGCGGAATCATGTCCGCCAAAAGACAGTCTAAAAACTGGAAATGCGGCTTAGCAGACCCTATCCTCATCAACACTCCCGATAAGTATTACACTTGACTTGAGTGGTGAAGCGAAACAGAACCGCGGAACGTAAACCCACGTTCACGAAACACCACAAGATTCGAGTGGAGTGAAAGCCACGCTGTGCCACTGCACTGCAAATTACGGGTCTGACACTTGGCTGCCACGAACGTAGCCGCGAAACATCGCTGCGATTGTGCTGGACCGACGCTGCTTGTCTGCGTATTAAATGACGCTTTCGAATTGCTCTTATTTTGCGGGGCTTCTCTGTTTAGTGCACTTGAACCTAACTCTCGCAGCCAGTGAATACCAGGCCAAAGACCTCAATAGCGCATATGGTCCTGCTGACCGACGGACTGCACCGGCCGGCTGTCAATGGCGGATATCATCTCGCAGCAGTACAGCACGCCAGTTCCTGACGGTCGTTCGCAAAACGCGTGACGTCCGGCACGCCGCCGGGCCTTAAAGTGCGCACCCCGAGGTGGTGCAGCGCTGCCGGCAGCGAGATACTGATGAGTGACGTCATTGACGTTACTGGTGTCAGCAGAGCAGCCGCCGCCCCGCTGCCACCCCGTGAATAGGTGCAGGACTGAGCGGTGACACGCAGCGCAGAGGCCGGCCGCGCGGGCCGAGCGCTGTCAGCTCGGTCAGCTCAGCTTCGTCAGCTCATTCAGCGCAACTCCGTCAGCTCCATTAGCTCGGTCAGCTCAGTCAGCTCAGCTCGGTCAGCTCAGTCAGTTCAGCTCCGCCAGCTCCATCAGCCCAGTTCCGTCAGCTCCGTCAGCTCGGTCAGCCCGGTCAGCTCAACTTCGTAAGCTCGGTTAGCTCTGCTCCGTCAACTCGGTCAGCCCAGCGCAAGAAAACCGGTGCCGGCTTCAGCCCGCTCGACAGAGGACCGGGCTCAACTGATCACTGATCTGAGAGCTGAGCTGACGATGCCCAGCTGACCGAGATGACAGCGCTGAGCTGCTGGGTTCAGCATCCAGGCGACCCGACATCCACCACTGATGATGACGATGCCGAGCAGTGCCACCCACGCACCGGCCGCCGTCACCAGCCGACGTCGCAGCTCGCGGTCGACACCCGCGAGCGCACGGTCCGGCCCGGCGCGTATCCAGTTCCGCTACCGTCAGGCTCATTTATTATTTATTTAGCGACTTACCCAGGCTTTCGTCCACCGTCAACCACTCGAGCATCACTCAGCGGCTGTATCGCACACAGGCCCATCTCTCATCTCTTTCTCCGCCCGCCAGTCGGCGCTCTCCGCTGGTGCTCTGGTGATCGCGACAAGGACTCTGGTGCACGTTACTAGTCCCGCCTTGTTTCTAGTTCTAGTTCCTGGTGGTTCTTGACAGCCATCGTGGTCAAGGCAAAGCAAAACACGAGGGGAAGCATCACATATTTCTTCCGTCCGAGCAAGACCAGAGTAATGGCATTCGGAGCAGCTACGTCAAAATCCGTGGAGCAGGATTATATATATATATATATATATATATAAATATAAATATATATATATATGTATATATATATAGTAGTTTATTGACATATATATATATCGTGTATTATATACATCGTGTAAATATATATTGTATATATTTATTCCGCACATATTTCGTGGAATTCTGCCACGGCACTGCAGATCAAATCACAGCACTGCGGGGCATATGTTTTGGTACTTTTCCATAACAAAGAAAAGGCAGTTATCAAACATTTACGTGTCATATTGTTGCCATGCAAAATGGTTCTCATGTTCTCTTTAGTATTGAAATAATGTACAGCATACCTAAACTAAGGTAAGTACACCGGCCCTATACGGTGTCATCAGCTACAAATTCTTATGTTGAGTTAACGACCTACAGCATACCAGAGGGTACTGGCAAAACGACGTTGCAATGCCAAACAACGGTTACATCCACGTTACTCAATATTTCGAGCTGTGCTCATCCTCAAGAGCAATGATGACCTCCTACCCTGTCTGCATCCTCACGGGTGCTCTACTCAGTTTTCAGGATGAGCGCAACTTGAAACATTGAGTACCGTCAATAAACTACTTATTCAGCATTACCACGTCGCTTAAACAGTACCCCATGGTATACTGAAAGTCGTTGACTTAATATAAAAACTTTCAGCCCAAAATGTCCCCAAAACAGAAGCTTTTTTTCTTGCATCAAGTCTAACACGTTTTCACTCTATCATGACACATACATTTTACCTTGATAATGATGATTTTCGCGATCGAGAGATCAGAGGCACTATATCTTCCTTCATAATGAAGGTCGTTGCTGATGCAGGGCCCGGTTCGGAAGTCATCAACAACGTTGGAATTGGGAAAGTCCGAGCATGAATGAAAACACGGCCGTAAAGCGTACGGCGGCCGGCAGCGAGACTCATTTAATAGCCGGCGGCACGAAAACATCGTCAACGCCTCGAGTTATGACCTCCTGACACGGCAGGACGCCAAGAAAACGAAGGGGATCAGGAGGGCAGCGGAGACAAGCCAGCGGAGGTAGAGCCAGCAGGGGAGGAAGAGACAGAGTAAGAAGGTAAAGGAAGGACACGATACCAGGAGGGGCAAGAAAAAAAGGGGCCAGGAAAGGAACAGCCAGAGTGGAAGAGGCCAGGAGAAGGTTGTATGCCAAGGGTGAGGCCGGGTAATTTCAGTGAACGTAAATAAGCTGTACATAATTGCAGGAATGAGGAGACTACGCCGACCATTTTGACCTTACAACCGCATGTTGAACGTAAAATTAGGGCTAAGCTAATGGGAGGTCAGGAAACCAATAACAATGCGGCATAGGAGCTGCTGGTTCGGAACCAGACGTCAGGTTCGTGAGGAGATGGCGCAAGGTCAAAAGAGCGGAGGGATTAGACAGCAAGCCGCGGCTGACCAGAGTGTGTTACCAGCTGACTAACTGGCGGCTGACCAGCGTGTGTTACCATCTGATTGACGGCTGACCAACGTGTGTTACAGGCTCCACATGACAGTTAAGGCCCAGAACATCAGTCAGGGCAGGTGACGCAAGCGATAAATGAGTCGCTACATGCAGCCGGCTGCAGTTGCACAGATACTGCTCTCGTTCAAATGACCCAGAAATGAAGATCCTCTCCTTTCCCAACACGGAATTATTTTTCAAACGCGGATGAAATTATATTAATTGTATGAAGTAGCTACCTCCTTCACAAGCACAAACGCAGACAGAGGGTGGGTGGGTAGGTGGATTCCCCGTATCCATTTTTTCATCCCCCTTAAACTCACATTTTGACCACTTTTACCACAGATGGCCCCCGGACGGAAAGGTGAAAATCAGTGAAATGCCTTCACTCTGAGCCACGCTCCCCCCTTCAACCTTTAAGAAATCCAGAAAGCCTGACGAAAAATGGCTGCGATGCTGCACGCAAGTCGCAAACAATACGTGCTGCCTAGCGACGGAAATGGTCTGTGAATAACCTGACTAGTACAACTATATATGTCCTCATTTTACCCAGCACCATCTGGTATCGTAGATAAGAATAAATACGTGGTATCTAAACGATAGCTGTCACTTGATGCCTCTTTCGCACAGCAGATAGCTTTCCCCGCTCGTCTCAGTCACAATAATGTTAGACTGGTGTCGACGGCGTCGCTTGCCAAGTAACCGTACGCGAACTAAGGGGCAGGCGGCACTCACAATCCATCAGCGACAAAACATCACGGCATGTTGGTGCCATGGTTCATTCAGCGTTGGTGTGTTTCAGAGCAAACTGAAAACGAAATCGCAATGACTCCATTGTGCCGAAGCGATGGTGGGGTAGCTAGGTACAGGATCAATCCAATTTAAAACGTCCTCATACAAGTGCGTAGCTAATGTAAGATTGCTGAGTTTTACAGATACACAATGCAATGTACGATGAAATGTACTACGGGGAATGGTACACGAATAACGAGGGACAAAATTAGGAAACAGCCACAAACTTCTTTTAAATGGTATCACATTAGGACACCGACAATATCGCGATGTCAATGCCTTCATGCCATGCCGACGTGCTATCGACGCCGCCTAACGTCGTCACAACGTGTCCTTTGCCCCGCACCTCTTCCGTGTGCGGACCGTGGCACGGTGACTGCCAGTGACGTTACCCCTCTCGAGCCGTCGGTCGGGACGGAGCTCGGCTGGTCTGGCCACAAATGAGTCCGAAAGGGCTTACAGGAACAATGGGATGCAGCACTGAGGCCCGCGTGACCAGCCTGGCAAAACACGGTCAGTGTCAGTCAGTACACGGTCAGAACAGCGGTCAGTGAGGACCACTGGCCGCTGTGGACGTCGCGACGTCTGGACTGTACACTGCTCGCGGACCTCTTCACCTGCAGCCGGCTGGGAGCGGGGCGAGGCAGGGGGCCTATCCAACAGGGGACCCGGTGCCCGGCCTACAGCCCTCTGCAGCCTCAACGACCCAGTCATCAGGCACGGCTGGTCGAGCCCCGGGCAGGGAGCCGATGCCGGGCCCGTGCAGACGGGGCGTCGCCGACGACACGTCGCTGGGCTCTACCGTGGGCGTGGAAAATGAAGCCGGCGGCCAGCCAGGCCCGGCAACACTGTTTCTCTGTATCGGAGTGCCGCCGCAGTTGACGCAGGTACGCTGCCAGCCCGCGCAGGTAATACCTTGCCGGCACATATGATGGTTTGCTGATTAATGTCGTCTGTCAGCCTGTCAGAAAAATATGAGGCTGCAGTTTGCTCCTCTCCTCAGGCTGGTCATTAAAATGTTATGACCCCGTCAAATGTCAGGGGACGAGATTCCAGCGGCTTTATCCAATTGCGCCCCTGCGGTCGCCGAGCGACAGGAATTCTGACAATCCACATCTACAACGTTTTGGCCTGAGCAAACACGCGGTCCTCGGAAACCGATCTGAAGCGGCAGCGACGTCCGTCCCGTAACTCGGCGAGGAAACCCGACCGGCCCACATAGTCCGCATCTGACGTCAACGACAGCTGAATGCCGTCCTGTGAGCCACATCCCGCGCTGAATCATCGCCAGCCGATGGTTACGGCAGACCCTTGGCGGCCCGACAGCGGCTTTGTTTTTGCCCCGGCGATTTGGCAATCGGCCTACGAACCGCGCGCAAGACGACCCAGCACCCGTGTTTCGTCAGGCGAGCCTGCGTCGCTGCGTGCGGTAGTTTTCCACTGAAGTGTGCTCGGGCGAGGTCATGGCCTCTGGCCAGTGCCGTGTCACGCGGCCTCGCCTTGAGCTCCACGCAGCCTCCGGGCCGTCCGGGGGTAACGTCGGGCGGCAGAGAGCCGCGTCAGGTCGGCCGCCAGCCGGTCGATCGCTCGAACACCGCTCGGAGCGCGCCTCTGGCACGCGCGTCTGATCGAGTGCCACGCGGATCAAACGCTGGTGGCTCTGGGCGCGCCGCGGACTGGGCGGAGGTGTAGTTCGTGTGGAGCGGTGGCGGGATGTGCGCGAGCGCCGGGCCCTCGGCCCTGTTTACACTGGCCGGCCGCGCTCCTGAACGCCGCCGGCCGCCGGCTATCACAGGCTGTCACAGACGCGACACGGTGTAGCACACCCAATCTCGGCTCTATAGAGCCGGTTGCCGAGTCAGCGCGGCCAGTCGGCTCCGATCGACGCGATGCTCAGATGGAGGCATGAATCACCGATGCCACCCTCATCACATGGAGGCACGACTCCATATTTATCATCGTGTCCGTGGACGTTTTCGTGAGTCCCGTGATCCTGTTTCGTACCGTGAACTGCAAACCGGGACAAAACTGATGAGAGCATATGCCCACTGTCTTGCCGTGTTGTCAGCCCCATACGTCACACGCGAAGTTTTAGCAGCAGAACGCTTATTTGTAAAGCGCACGCTAAACAGAAAATGGCATGTTTAATGAAACGGACGGGGAATGGAGGCACAATCGTAGCCAGGCCGCAATTCAACGTACGGTTAGAGCATTGACAGTGTTGGCCAACACATAAATATTTATGTGCGTGCCCGTACCCTGGCAAGACTAAGCTACCCCTGCATGCGCTAACGTCGCGTGAGACATTGCAGTGTCTTCTCCAAATACACAGCGTATCTGGACTCTGGCGGACAAGGCCCGTGACATGCCCCGGTCAAGGTTCGGACGCGGGAGTGGGACCCAGGCGACCTCTCGTCGCCGGCCGTTCGCCCAGCCCCGACCGAGCTGCGTCTCAGCACGGGTCACAGCCG